AAAAATTGAATTAAATTGAAGGTGCGCTTATCCTTGAATTTCAATAAGCTCTTATGATTTGCATGTATTTTAGGATAAAAAAAGCGGTGCCTATAATACCACATAGTACGTGTAACTCTTTTTTTCCATTGGGGAATTAACAAAATAAGTTCATTAGGCAACAACAATTATTGTATTTATATTCGTGAACGTTTTCTAGTAAGTCTCTCACTAGGTTACCGTTAAATGCMACCGGTGTTCTTTCATTATATAACTATAATTGTCTTGACATAATTTTGAGTAGACCTAAAATAGGATATCTGCCGGGCGCTAAAATAATGTACCTTTGTACCTTTAGACTGGGGTAGGGTATGTAAAATCACCAAAAAAATTAGTCTGGGATAGGGTAAGGGTTTTGAGGGTCGTGCGGCACACTTCCACCCTAGTTGGGGAGGGAGTACCTCCTCCCCCCTCTCCCTCCCCGGATATCTGTTTCGCACATAATACATGTATGTCAGCTGTTTTAAGTTCTCATAGGATTCCAAGATATTTCTAAATAACTTAGGTTATTATTTTAAAGGTATCCACACTATCTCGCTTAGAGGTCCCAGTTACAACCTGTGAATTCCTAGGTTTCACTTTGCTAATTTCTCCCAGTTTTAATTCGGATATTCCATTAATCTGTCCGGTAAGATCTAAGTTTGACAACCTAATGACGAATACAAGGCACGTTGATTGTTGTCAAAATTAAGCACATTTTGAAGTTTCCACTTAGGATGATCTTACGTAACGTATATCACTATGGTAACTGAGCTATCATTGTCATAAACAGAAGCAAATGAAATATGTAAGCCCTWAAAGATACGACGACCATCCCAACCCCTCCGTATATGGGAGTCTCCCCTCCCCCCGGGCTGGGCAATCACCTCAAACACTCGAATTCTTATCTTTCTTCGATTTGAACTTAAAGCTAAAATCACCACTTTATACAACTTAATTTTTAATAGGTTAGAACAGAAACCTATAAGGGACTTGAAACATGCGGTAGCGCCGTGTCATCTGTTGGAATATTTAAATCTAATTTGCATCTCATTTCCTTTTGGAACAATTCAATTAATACCCTGTAGCCAACCAGAACGGGCCTTAAAGTGCTACTTGCATGAAAATGGTCTTATTTCAAAACTTCAAGCAATACAAATGTATGACTCATTTATATCTGTTAAAAACAATTTCGGGAAAATATTTGTTTTTGAATTATCCTACATCAGAAAAATTTTGATTCAAAAGATGGAAGAACAAAAGGATGGAGTAAATGACGTCATCTATTCCAATATTTTTTGCCCAAATTATTAAGGATTTGTATCAATATCTTCTTAAAATCTGTTCCTTCATGATTATTAGACTCATATGGATAGGTCTATCTGATTTCTAAGTCTTTTCTAATGTTTCACAATTTTCGTCCAAGTAGCTCTTTAAATCTCTTATCCATCGGCCGAATTTTCCAAATATGGTCATAACGTTCGTTTTCGAATTTTTAATGAGTTTTGAATATTCCGAAGCTTTTGGTACTAAAGAAATGTACGGGCGTTACAGGTTTCAAGTCCCTTATAGGTTTCTGGTGAGAACCTTTTAATTTCTTTAGGAGTTATAATTTAAAGATTCAAATCCCACTTTTCAAGATGGCGGACGCATTGTTCTCCGAAACTCCTGATGCATGTATAACGTGTAATTATACAGGAC